GCCTATGTTTTTAACTCAAAATTCAACAAAATATTAATTTTAGCATATCCAAGCATTTTCAAATACACCTTTTTTCCATAAGACTAACAAATCTGTCGTCTTAAGTCACGACTATAACTAGCTGCCGCTTCAGATCAATTTTATGTCTTAAGTCACGACTCTAACTAATTGCTGCATCAAATCGATTTTATTTTTTATCTATAAATACTTAATCATGTTTTGTTCCCTTGAAAAATATTATTTATATTTCAAGTATATAGTAAAACTTTTTTGGTCTGAAATATATATATTAAAACTTGATGAGACATTGTATAGATATACTTTGAGTATAAAAATATCTATATAGATGTAAATGGTTTAAACAACCACCGTCTAATTATATCCAACAATTAACGTATCTTATGTTTTTATCATGCATTACTTAAGGCAGGCATAGTAAAAACTGAAAAATACAATAAACAAAAGGAAATATTTTTTTTGTTTTTGGTGCAATTTCACAACTAGAAAAGATTCACACATCTACTTCTACCATTTACTTTCACCAAAAGAAGACATTCAATTTCATTTTTTTCTTCTTCAAAACATTCTTTCTCTCGAGAGAGCGCACAAAGTATAGAGTATTATAAGTTATTCACAATTAATAATCTTGACTGTGTTCTAAAATGATAAGAAATATGTAAGTGAAGGTTAATTTTTGAATTTATAAATCGGCAACACTTAAAAGTGTTGCAGTAGGTTTAAATTCAAAAATAGATAACACTTGTGAAGTGTTGCAGTAGGTTTAAATTCAAAAATAGGTAACACTTGTGAAGTGTTACACTAGGTTTTAATTCAGAAATAGGAACACTTCGTGAAGTGTTGTAGAATGAAAGTATGCATTTCTTAAAGAATGTTGTTGTGGGCAAAACAATGTAACTTTTGGTAAAGCGAAGTTGTTTCACCAAGGGTCGCAACCTTGTGAAACAACACCAATATGGCTTATAAATACTTCATTCTAGATTCAGAAAAACAGAACAAACAAAAATTTACATCCTCTTCACTAAAATTCCAGACACTCTTCCATACATTCAAGTTTTCATCATTCTTGTATAATATCGATTATAGGAAAAATTATTCTGAGTATCCCTGCATTTCAACTCTAAAACATTTGAGAGTGCTTGAAATAATTTAAAGTGATGTTGTTCAAGATTCAAGCCTGGATCCATTAAGTTTAAAAAGTTTATCTAACAGTCTTTAAAGTAGTTTATCTAACAGTCTTTAAAGTATTCTAATAATGGCTACCGAGGCTGCAATTTCAACCATCACGATCATGAATACAGGACCTTGTCAAGTTGGATTGCTTTGATTGAACCAAATTCACCCGATGGCAAGATAAGATGTCATTTCTCTTGATTTCCCTCAAGGTTCACTATGTCTTAGATCCTGACCTAGCACCAATTCCAAAACCAACCAAGGATGACTCTGATGAGATGAAGAAGGAGCGCAAGAAACGTAAGGATGACGAATTGATATGCCGTGGACATATCCTGAATACACTATATGATCATCTCTATGATCTCTAAATGAATACCCATTCTGCAACAAAAATCTGGAAGGCACTCGAATTCAAATTCAAGGCTAAGGATGAATGTACAAAATAGTTTTTAATTTATAAATATTTTTGATTTTAAAGTTTCGGAGTCCAAGCCCATTCTTCCATAAGTACACGAGTTACAGGTTCTCGTGAATAAAATAAAAGTTGTGAAAACAGACATTCCTAAAATCTTTCTACTTAATGCAATCATAGCAAAGGTTCCACCTTTGTGGAAAGGCTATAGAAAGAAATTGATACACAATTATGAGGATTTTACTTCCTATTATGAAGTAAAAGATGTACAAGAGGTACAAATGGGAAATGAACGGAGGTCTAAAGTTGTTAGAATGGGACCTGTCAAACTCAACTTCACTTCCGAAAATAAGATAACTCTTTTCAATGTGCTTCATGTTCCCGATATGAATAGGAACTTTGCTAGTGAGGATTTGTTGGGAAAATCGGACATTAACTCTGTATATAAATTGGGCAAACTTGTTTTGACCCATAATGGTGTATTAGTAGGAAAGGATATTCCGCTGAGGGGATAATCAAACTTTATACTACCAACAATATTATTAATAAAATTTCTAATTCCTCTTACATGCTTGAGTCTACTTCTTTATGGAATTTTAGATTAGCACATTCTGGTAATAGTACTATGAACATATTAATTAAATCTAGTTTGAGTTCATGTAATATAAGTTATTTCAAAAAATGTGAAATAAGTGTTATATCAAATATGATTAATAAATATTTCAAAATTGTTGAAAGAAAGAAAAATCTACTTTATCTAGTGCATTCATATTTGTGCGAATTCAATGGAGTGTTAACACGTGGTGGAAATAAACATTTCATTACCTTCATCGACGATTGCTCTATTCACGCATGTATATCTTTTAAAGCTTAAAGATGATGCTTTTAATGATTTTAAAAGATATAAAGCAGAAGTATAAAATCAATTAAGTAAATGTATCAAAGTCCTTAGGAGTGATAGTCGCAGTGAATACTTTTCTATTAAATTTGATGCATTTTGTGAAGAACATGGAATTATACATGAATGTTTTGCACCTCTTACACCACAACATAATGGTATAGCCGAGAGAAATAATCGAACATATAAAGAGATGATGAATTCCATGTTAATGAATTCTAATTACCATTTAATTTGTGTGGTGAGGCCTTACTATCCGTTTTCCATATAATCAACAAATTTCCATTAAAGAAAACCGGTATTTCTCCATATGAGGTATGAAAAGGCAAAGCATAAAATATCGTTTACCTTAGAGTGTGAGGGTGTGTAGCCTACTATAAAAATGTGGATCCTAAAAGAACTAAATTGCGTCCTCGAGGGATCAAATGTGCTTTTGTAGGATATGCATCAAACAGTAAAGAATATAGACTTATAAACCTAGAGTCTAATGTAATTGTCGAATCCCGAAATGTATAATTCTTTGAAAACCTTATTACTAAGATTAGGAATCTAGGCTTTCCGCAAACAAAGAATATCATGAGGAAGGTTCTCCCCAGATTGTCGAAGTACAACGGGAAAGAGCCCCAAAAGCAAAGGCTCTAGGACCAAATGAAATTGATTCTCGACATATTTCCTTTTATATAATTGAAGGAAATTGTGAGAATTATTTTCAAGGATTTCTGTTATTCTTAAAGTGGAGGAAGATCCTAAAACTTATAAGGAATCAATGGCTTTAAGGAACTCTTCCTTTTGGAAGGATGCTATCCCTGATGAAATGGATTCAATTACGTGAAATCACACTTGAGAAGTTGTGGATTTACCAAAGGGATCAAGTCCCATTGGATCAAATGCATGTTTAAAAGGAAGCATCATAGTGACAATATACTAAACACTTATAAGGCCAGATTAGTAGCAAAGGGATTTAGAAAAAGGACGGTGTCGATTTTTTGACACATATGCACCAATATCAAGGACGACAACAATTAGAGTATTATTTGCCTTAGCTTATTTGAATAGCCTTATAGTTCATCAAATAGATGTTAAAATAACATTCTTAAATGAAGATCTCAATGAGGAAATCTATATGAAACAACCAGAAGGCTAACGTACTTACTGAAAATGAACAAAAGGTGTGTAAGCTTGTCAAATCCTTATATGGATTAAAACAAGTACGAAACAATGGCATCAAAAATTTGACTTTGTCATAATTTCAAATGGATTTACTCTCAATTCTTGTGACAAGTGTTTATACGCAAAGGTACAAAAAATTTTGTAATATTCATTTGTCTCTATGTTGATGACATGTTGATAATTAGAAATGATATGAATGGATTTTTAGAGACAAAGAGGTCTCTAACTTCCACATTCAAGATGAAAGATCTTGGATTAGTATTGACAAAATTTTAAGGATCAAAGTAAAGTGAAACAGTGGGGGTTATGAACTTAGTCAAACTAAGGAAGTAACCATTTCATTTGATAATGTCGTCAAACTTCAAAATAACAATGGAAGAGCTATGGATCAATTGGAATATGCAAGTTCAATAGACTTTCTAATGTGTTTAATGCAATGCACCAGACCCGATATATCATTTGCAGTTAGTAAAATGTGAAGATTTACGAGTAATCTAAATAGTGAACATTGGAAGGCAGTCACAAGAATTTTCGGCAATATACTAAAAACCAAAAATATTGGCCTTCACTATGGTATGTTTCTTGCCATACTATAGGGATATATCGATGCGAGTTAGATATCCAATATTGGAGATCATAAATCTACAACTGGTTGGATATTTACACTAGTTGGATGAGAGATTTCTTGGAAGAGCAAAAAACAAATATGCATTACTCTTTCAACCATAGAATCGGAGTTCGTGACTCTTACTTCACCGGGTCAAGACAACGTAAGCAACTTCAGTATCACACAAAATTGAAAATTCATAAGTTTTTTTTCCATAAGTCCATTTTTTCTCCGGATGAAAGTCACTCTCCTATTTATTTATTATATTATCAATTCTTTTTTATCTCAATTTTTTCTCTCCCCATTTCTTGATCAACTATACTCAAAACAAAATAAAATAATTTTTATTAAACTATTTTAACTATATATTTGATCAACTATATTTTAAATCTATATATTTATTTTGAACATAAATTTTGTTTTATAAAATCTAATAAAATTAGAAACATCCCTTTTGTAGAGGCCAATTAAAAACAGACATGTATCTCTACTCAGTATTCTCCTTACTGATTGAATGAGGTTATTGCAACCAAGTTTCAAACCTGTTTCCTTTTCTAACCATTCATTTCTCATCTCTTTTGTAGTGGCTCTAATGTTGACTTGACAAAGTCTATCCCAAAACATCTTCTACCATTAACTCACTCACTCCTTGTTAATTATTTTGTTTTCTCATCATACTTCTTCATCTCTCAACCAAACACAATCAAACTCTTTCAAAGATGGCTGAGGCTGTGCTTGAACTTGTGCTTCACAATTTGAACTCACTCATTCAAAAAGAGCTTGGCTTATTTCTGGGTTTTGATCAACACTTTAATAGTCTTTCCAGCTTGCTGACAACAATCAAGGCTACTCTTGAAGATGCTGAGGAGAAACAATTCACTGACAGAGCTATCAAGGATTGGCTGCTTAAGCTCAAAGATGCTGCTTACGTCCTCGACGACATCTTGGACGACTGTGCCACTCAACTGCTGGAGATGGAGTCTAAAGGACTCTCACACAAAGTACAAACCTCTTTCTTATCCTCTTTTCATCCAAAGAATGTCGCTTTCCGTTACCAAATGGCTAAGAAAATGAAGAACATGCGAGAGAGATTAGATGAAATCGCTGAAGAAAGGAACAAGTTTCATTTGACTCAGATAGTGAGAGAGGAGAGAAGTGGAGTCCTTGACTGGCGCCAAACGACTTCAATCATTACTCAACCTCAAGTCTATGGAAGAGAAGAAGATAAGGATAGAATCATAAACTTTTTGGTTTATGATGCTTCTAGTTTTGAGGATTTATCTGTTTACCCAATAGTTGGTCTTGGTGGACTTGGAAAAACAACACTTGCCCAACTCGTCTTCAATCATGAAAGGGTAGTCAACCACTTTGAGTTGAGAATCTGGGTGTGTGTTTCTGAAGATTTTAGTTTGAAGAGAATGATAAAAGCAATCATAGAATCAACAACTGGTGATGCTTGTGCAGAACTGGATCTAGAGCCATTACAAAGAAAACTTCTAGATTTGCTGAAAGGAAAAAAGTATTTGCTTGTGCTGGATGATGTATGGGATGATGGACAAGAGAATTGGCAGAGGTTGAAATCAGTATTGGCATGTGGGGGAAAAGGCGCGTCAATATTGGTTACCACTCGTCTTCTAAATGTTGCAGAAATCATGAAAACTGTGCCCCCTCATGATTTATCAATCCTATCAGACACTGATTGTTGGGAATTGATGAAACAAAGAGCCTTTGGACCAAACGAGGAAGAGAGGGGAGAACTTGTGGTCATAGGAAAGGAGATAGTAAAGAAGTGTGGGGGAGTACCTCTTGCAGCAATGGCATTAGGAGGTCTCTTGCGTTTAAAAAGAAAGAAAATAGAGTGGTTCAATGTTAAGGAAAGCAAGCTTTGGAATTTACAAGGTGAGAACTCTGTTATGCCTGCCTTAAGATTAAGCTACTTGAATTTGCCAGTAAAATTGAGACCGTGTTTTGCCTTGTGTGCACTTTTTCCCAAAGATCAAATAATAAACAAGAAGTTTTTGATTGAGCTTTGGGTGGCTAATGGTTTTATTTCATCTAATGGAATGCTGGAAGCAGAAGATATTGGCAATGAGGTGTGGAATGAGTTATATTGGAGATCATTTTTTCAAGATATAAAGAAAGATGATATTGGGGAAATTGAAAATTTTAAAATGCACGACCTTGTTCATGATCTTGCTCAATCTATTGCAGATGAGGTTAGTTGTTGCAGTACAGAAGCAATCCTATCTAAAAGAATCCTCCACCTCTCAACTTATGATGAGAAATCCTCTATGGTAGTCGGTTCAACACAGTTGCATGAAATGAAATCATTAAGGACCTTTTTAATGCGTCAATACTATTGTTCCCCACCTCAAGTACTAAAATGCTATTCTTTAAGAGTGCTTGACTTTGAAAGAATCGAAGAGTTGCCATCTTTGATTTTTCGTTTGAAACATTTAAGATACTTGAATCTTTCTTGTGGAATATTCAAAACTCTTCCAGAATCTTTATGCAAGTTACAAAATTTGCAGATTTTAAAGTTAGATTATTGTTCAAGACTCCAAAGGTTGCCCGATAGGTTGGTACAGTTGAAAGCTCTACAACATCTATCTTTAAAGAATTGTCACTCATTATCAAGTTTGCCACCACATATAAGAAAATTGGTTTCTCTAAAAACTTTAACCATGTATGTTGTTGGCAAGGAAAAAGGGTTTCTTTTGGAGGAACTAGGGGAAATGAATCTTATCGGAGACCTTTCCATTAGTCACTTGGAGAGGGTTGAAAGTGTGATTGATGCCAAAGAAGCTAATATGTTGAGAAAGCACGTGAACGATTTGGAATTGTCATGGGAGAGAAATGAAGAGTCCCAATTACAGGAAAGTGTTGAGGAGATTCTTGAAGTGCTTGAACCTCAAACCCAACAACTTCAAAGGATGTTAGTGAGAGGATATAGAGGTGCCTATTTCCCACAATGGATGTCTAGTTCATCTCTAAATATTTTAACTACTCTAGAGCTTTTGAATTGTGAAAGTTGTTTACATCTTCCAGACTTGGGGAAACTTCCTTCTCTAAAGAATCTAAAAGTATCTAAAATGAGTAATGTAAAATACCTATATGAGGAGGATTCATGCAATGGTGGAGGTGCAGGAGGTTTCAGAAAACTAGAAAAATTGGAACTAGAGCAGTTGTCGAACCTGGTAAAGTTATCAAGGGAGGATAGAGATAACAACTTTTCTTGCCTTTCAAAACTTCAAATTACGGAATGTCCTATACTGTTGGAATTGCCTTGCCTTCCATCTCTCAGTGACTTGCTTGTACGAGGGGAATGCAGCCAACATTTGCTAAATTCAATTCATAAATATCATACTCTTGAAAAACTTCGTTTCAGTGATAATGAAGAGTTAAGTTTCTTTCCAGATGGTATGCTAAGAGACCTTACTTCTCTAAAGATTTTTGATATTGATGGCCTTTCTAAACTTGAGGAGATATTTATTAACAACCTCAAGTCATTGCATGATATATTATCACATGGATTACAGTCTCTTAAGAAATTGCATATTAGAAACTGCCAAAAGTTCAACCTATCAGAAAGTTTTCAATACCTCACTTATTTGGAAGAATTGACAATTGAAGGTTGCCCAGAAATAGTAGGTTTGCACGAGGCATTACAACATATGACTGCTCTTCAATCTTTGTCATTGCGCGATCTTACAAATCTGGCATCCCTACCTGACTGGTTAGGAAACCTAGCCTTGCTTCACAAACTGGAGATTGATAATTGTCAAAAGTTCAACCTATCAGAAAGTTTTCAATACCTCACTTGTCTTGAGAAATTGATAATCACGAGTTGCCCAGAAATAGAAGGTTTGCATGAGGCATTACAACATATGACTGCTCTTCAATCTTTGACATTGTGCGCTCTTCCAATTGCATCCTTACCTGACTGGTTAGGGAACCTAGCCTTGCTTCACACATTGGAGATTTCTCTTTGTCCAAAGCTGACATGTCTTCCCATGAGCATTCAAGGCCTTACTAATCTGAAAAGATTGTACATTCAGCATTGCAGTGAGTTACGGAAACGATGTAAAGAGAACACCGGTGAGGATTGGCACAAAATAGCTCACATTCCAGACATTGAAGTTACATACTGGCATCCCTACCGGACCTGGTCTTCCCAGGAGCATTCAACGCCTTACTAATCTGAGAAGTTTGTTCATCTACTATTGCAGTGAATGCTAATGTATAGGTTAATAAATAACAAATATTCATATATATATATATATATATATATATATATATATATATATATATATATATATATATATATATATATATATATATATATATATATATATATATATATATATATATATATATATATATATATATATATATATATATATATATATATATATATATATATATATATATATATATATATATATATATATATATATATATATATATATATATATATATATATATATATATATATATATATATATATATATATATATATATATATATATATATATATATATATATATATATATATATATATATATATATATATATATATATATATATATATATATATATATATATATATATATATATATATATATATATATATATATATATATATATATATATATATATATATATATATATATATATATATATATATATATATATATATATATATATATATATATATATATATATATATATATATATATATATATATATATATATATATATATATATATATATATATATATATATATATATATATATATATATATATATATATATATATATATATATATATATATATATATATATATATATATATATATATATATATATATATATATATATATATATATATATATATATATATATATATATATATATATATATATATATATATATATATATATATATATATATATATATATATATATAATAAAATAAAATAAAACGTGATGATGTAATCTCTCTTATTCTATTCGTTTTTTTTTTCATTTTCTTAAACCTCTCATCCAATTTTTTAATCTTTTTCTTTCTTCTTTTTAAATATGGATTGTCAGTATCTTTTCTCGTAAATACAAAAGAAAAAAAATACATTTGTGGAGATATACTAGAGAAAGGAGAAATTGTTGCAATTTCTCCAACTCAAGATGATTTGATAATTCATGAAGAATAAATTCAAAATCCTCAGAAACAAGTGTTACAAGAATCAATACCTTTGCAGAGATCCACTAGAGAAAGGAGAATGTTATTCTGGATGATTACATAGTCTTTCTCCAAGACTATGAAGAAAATAATGGTATGATGGAAGATGTTTCAATCAATTTCTGTCAAGTCATACAAAATTCCAACTCGAAAAAAATGAATTAAAGCGATGAAAGAGGAGTATAAGTCCATGCAAGACAATAAAGTTTGAGAACTTGTCCCATTACCAAAAGATGTGAAACCCATTGGTTAGAAATAGATTTTTAAGACCAAACGGGATTACAACTGTAATGTGGAGAGGTATAAGACTCGTCTTGTGGCTAACGCCTATACCCAAAAGGAAGGGGTTGACTTTAAAGAGAATTTCTCTCTGATTTCATCAAAAGACTCTTTTAGGACAATAATGGCTCTTGTTGCACATTATGATTTGAAACTCCACCAAATGGATATCAATACGATTTTCCTCAATGACAACATTGATGAAACGATCTATATGGTACAACCAGAAAACTTTGTGTCGAGAGACTCAAAGAATATGGTTTGCAAATAAACAAAATCCATTTATGAACTAAAACAGTCATCTCGTTAGTGCTATCACAAGTTTCATGAAGTAATTCTATCATTTAGTTTTGAGGTGAATGTTGTTGAGGATTATGTGTATCACAAATTCAGTAGGAGAAAGTACATTTTTTTGGTCTTGTATGTAGATGACATACTGCTTGCCACAAATGATATAGGAATGATGCACGAAACTAAAAAAAATTCTATCAAGAAATTTTAAAATAAAAGATCTTGGTGATGCCTTATTTGTATTAGGAATTCAGATACATCGGGACCAATCTTGTGGTATTCTAGGATTATCACAAAGGAGCTATATTGAAAAGGTACTTACAAGGTTTGGCATGTAAGAATGTAAATCTGGAGATACTCCAATTGCTAAGGGAGACAAATTCAGTTTCAGTCAGTGCCCAAAAGGAAACTTAGAAATTCAAGAAATGTAAAAGATTTTTTATGTGTTAGTAGTAGGGAGTCTGATGTATGTCCAAGTGTGCACACGTCTTGATATTACGTTCATAACATTAGTTCAAAGTTAAACTCCAAGCCATGAATGAAATTCACTATGATAGCATTAGTTCAAAGCTAAACTCCCTGTTTAAAACTTCCTTTTATAATCTTCAGTTGTCCTTGGGCTTCAAAATCTCTGTCCAATCATTCCTTGATCCATGTTCTGATTGCGCCTTAAATCTTGTAATATATCTGTAATAAACTTGTTGTATCAGACCAAGATGTCGAGTCCTCAAGATGTGGCATCTTGTCCGACGTGTTGTTCTTTACAGATTTCTTCATATTATAACATCTTGTTCAACATCATGTTTTACCAAAATTTAGTCAAATCTTAGAGCCTTCAATTACTCCCTTTTGACAAATTTTGGCTAAAACTCCTTTTGTACAATAAATCCAGGAAATCAAGGAATAAAAAGAGTAGAAAGTTCTGAAGTCATTTCAGTCGGCCTATGACATATACCATTTTCCCTGATGTACATGAGGAAGAAGATATAAAACATTTCCCATCAAAACCAGTCCCAATTTACCCTTCTTCATTATCTAGATCAAGGCTCAGTGGACCAGACCCTAACTCTGGATAACTCAGAACACAAGACACATCTGTGTTCATAACTCAGATCACAAGACATAAAAATAAGACCTAGAAATAAAATTGAGACATAGACAGGATGTTAGAACATCATGTCCAACATCCTTGCAAAACAACTGCAAGAACGGACTCAAGACGCAAATGAATATTAGTCATGTGTTGCAAGGAACAACACACAACTGAGATAGACACAACCTATCTCCCCCTTTTTAGCCAAAAATTGACAAAAGTATCCAACACAATTCCATGCCCAAACAATACTCGCCCAAACCCGGATAAGTGCCATAAAATCACGACACGTCAAAAACACAACCTGAGACAAAAGAAGAAAAAAAAAACCCTTTAAATACCCGAGCAGTTTCCTTATGAATTAACGAGCCATTGATATTACTGAAGATCAATTCAATGAGAATGTAAATTGAGGAAATAACTTTTTTAGAAGCAAGCTTCAAGCGCATAAAAGTTTTGATGAAGACAACAAGTTTTCTACGCAACATGTGTATGCAAAAAGCAAGAGACTCGTATAACATCAAGGTTCAAGTTGATGCTTTAGCATATGACAAATGGATCAAAGCTTCACATACATACTAATCAAGTTTCAAGTGTTAAAGATAGAATATTGAACAACAACTCAAAGGTATACCAAATATTACTTAAAATACTTATGCAAGTGTTCAAATATTCATCTCTCACTACACATATATCATAAGTCTTTTTAAAACATTTTTGAGTAGCTCACTCTTTTTAAAATTAATTTTGTTGTGAAAAACTTTCAGTGTTAACCGGTTAACGGATTTCAAAAATAATTTTCTGCTGAAATACTTACAGTGTTAACCGATTAACGTATATGGTTAACCGGTTAACAAGTGTTATTTTTGAATATTTTCTAAACATTAAAGGGGTGTTAACCGATTAACCTATATGGTTAACCAACTAACCCTGAAGCAGTAAGCAAAAAATGACAGCTTTTCATGAAAATATGCATTGCTTTCTTTTGTTTTCTGATTGTTTTGCTGCATAAAATTATACCTCTCTGTAGAGGTATTTTGTACAGTATAAATTCATATCAGATTTCAAATTTCAATTGACCTCCAAGAAACTTAATCATAAAATTCACTCATTCTCTTCATCTTTCAAATTTTCCTAAAGTGTTCACACAAACATTTTTTGAGAGAAACTCTTTGAATTAATTTCACACATTATCACAATTTCATCTCATACTTTTCAAAGAACACTTGTGTATTTCTTTTGAGTGATATTTGTTTCAAGGAGAATATCGATAGTGAAGATTGATAGCACTATATTCTCTAGACATCAAATTTATATCAAGATTATTTTTTATATTACCTTGTTGTCCATGATTGTTGGAAACAAGTGAGTGTTTGAAGATGATTGTTCTTCCTACACTTAAAATTACCTATAGATTAGATAGTAGGCTTCACCTTTGGTGTGATTAGGCTGTGCAATCATTCTAAACTATAGTGAAATCTCTTTCGAGTTGAAAGGGGAGTGGAGTACTCTCGGAGTGTGAGGGGAACCACTATAAATCTCTTGCGTCTCTTTTTATTTTCCGCACTTTACTTTCAATTCCTTAACATCTTAACTGAAAAAGATTGAAAATAATTTTTGAGAACCTAATTCACCCCCCTCTTAGGCGCATTTTCAAGTTACAACTTCAGCAAAAATGAATGTGCACCGGCCAACTCGGTTTTGACTGTTTCTTCTTTAATGTGAACCATCCAAAGAATATACAAGTGCCGAAGAAACATGTTTTGCACACACTCTTTAAGGCACAGTCCAAGGAACACCTTCCGCATAGAGCCATTTGTAAACAAACACAAGTCCTAAGCAATGTCCAGACACCTAGTCAGACCTTGCATACTCTCTCTTGTAAACTTTGAAGCATAGTCACAGTGTCTTCCAATGAACTCCAAGCATACTCCTTTCAGTCAGAATTAGAAAAACCTGACCATGATGTCAAGACATTATGTGTGACATCTCCCATTTATCAATAAAATCTCCCATGACCCTTATCCCAATATGTAGAGAAAGGAGCAACATGTACTATGTTTGTTGCTTTTTTGGTAACATATCTTCTTACAGGTGTGATGTCCTGGACATCTTCCTCAACATCCTCTTCAGACTCAGTTTCAGACCTGGCCTTTCTTTTCTTAGAAGAAGGGGAAACTTTGCTCCATGTTTTAGGAGGTCCAACAATTGTCTTCTTCTTACTTCTCTTAGGAGGAGAGTTATCAATCACAGCTTTGCATATCCTTGTCTTCAACCTCTTGGCAATTCCAAGAGCCA